TCACTATACTGTCACTATATTGTCATATACTGACAATATGCTGCCAATAAACATAATAGCTGCAGTTGCTGTTAAATTTTTGCTCAAGTATTTATGAAAATAGATGTTTTACTATGTGGATGAGATGAAACAAGCTAAAGCTGGGCCTTGGGGGGGGTCTGGTCCTATTATTTATTCCTTGTACATTTCTTTCAGCTCTCATATTTCCTTTTCAATAAGTGGCACTGTCTCAATAAATGCATAACTTTGGTGTCCTGCTAGAATCATGCCCAGTGGTGGGTTGCTACCAGTTCTCCATGGGTCAGAAAAACCAGTAGCGGTGGTGGCGGGAGGCTCCACCCACCCACCCAGATGCTCCTGCATGTGCGCAGAAGCATCACGTGAGTGTGCGCGCCCATGAATAAACTGGTAGTGACAGGATTTGAAACCCACTACTGGCTCATTCTTAGAAGAGTAGATGGAGAACACAGCCTGGAAACCATAGCCTTTGTCCACTTTTAGCTGGCATGTGAGTTGTGAACCTTCCTGGAGCAGGAGGTTGAATATGACTGTCTAATCCAACCATATTCAACTCATCTAAAGAAATTATGCTAAGCAAAGCTGCTTGTAGTACCAACTTGCATCATGGTGTCTATGTCATGGAATGGTATCCCTCTAAAAGACTGACCCTGAAGATTCAAAGCATTCATGTAAAGGTTGTCCAGTTGGGCTTCGGTTTTTCCATACAGTGCCAGGCTGAGTAGGGATATTACAAGGTGGGAACTAATTAAAACTGATGTAATCTTGTCTGGCAAGAAGACCCACCAAATTCCTCTATTGTATGGACTATAGGCTGCATACAAAGCCTGCACAATTGCTTGACAACAGAAACCTCATCATTTGACTGCCAGCACAGTCTGGATGATCTCTGGAGGAGTCAGCCTCAGATACTTGATTGCTGCTGATTCCCAGGCCTCAGCCAAAGGAGGTTCTCATCAGAATTTTCTGAATCTGTTTCAGGTTGACAACTAGAACCTCCAAGAGAAAAGTTCATCCTAAATGGTGCTCCAGATCAACCTCCACAAATGCAATAAATGTGGAGAAATATTGATGTTTCACCACATTTATTACCAGGGTGTAAGCCTAAACACATCCATATAACTAAAAAATAATACAACTTTATATTTTCTATAGTTAGTCCTACTTCAGTTACAAGTTATTCCTACTTGTTAATTAAAGCAACATGATAGAGGAACAGCTGCTTAAAATATAACTTTACTGTTGGGAATATCAGTAGCAGGACTCTTTCTATTTCCTACCTTCTGAAGAGTGGTCTTAATACAAGAGGTTCATGGTTTTATAGATAGAGCATCATGTATCTTATTCTATAACAATCTGTACTCCGTCTAAAAATGCTTAGAAAGTCATCTGTTATCTCACTTAAATTAAAATTTAAAGAAACTTTAGGAGAAACATTCTGGGATACATAAGAAATATTAATGAGAGGAAAGAAAGAAAGAAAGAAAGGAAGGAAGGAAGGAAGGAAGGAAGGAAGGAAGGAAGGAAGGAAGGAAAGAAGGGGAAAGATCATAGGTTCCTGGAGATACATATTACCAATTGTTGAGGTTTTGAATTGGCTAATTTGATATTCAGTCCAAGTATCAATAGTTCTACCAGCACAACACTTTTCCTCATGGAAAAGTGAAGGGCTTATGTCAGCAGATCAGCTTGAGGCATGCCGCCTTTAATGTTTCATAATGATGTCACAAAACAATAAACCAAGCTAAATGCAGGGAAAATGATTTCAGAATGAAAAAAGAAATAAAAACCAAAGATCCCTGCTTAAGCAATAGTATGTGGATACAGTGTCATCTGAATAAAGGATTTAGAGCACCTTTTGAAACTTCAGCCAACCCAAGAAACAAATGACCCTTTGAGATTTTAAGAAGGCAAAGCTGAAATGCTGGCATGTTCTCACCTAAGATGGACAAAGCAAGTTTATAATCATTTACAATACAATAATTTGGACAGCTATTTCTGGAAAGTGCTTGTAAATTCAAACTACTTTGAAAAGTCTAATGACCGATTTCACTCAGTTAAGCAATAAAGCTGCTTGACTGACCTCAGGGTCTGACAGGTTAATCTATTCTGACCTTTGCTTTATTCTATAATGATGCTGAAAGATCACTTGAATAATTCACTGTCAGTCAACAATGGCTCTGTATTTCCCCTTTGGCAAGCAGAGGAGTCAAATGTGACTCGGTGCCAGATTTTCAGAACTATGTGGAATACTACTAAGACTATTTTCTTCCAGGCAGTGAAATAAAACAAATTGCTTCTTCCACACCCCTTCATCCCAGCTCCCCTCCTCTATTGCTTGCAGTTTAGAATACCAAACAGCCAAAGCAGATTTCTACCAGCCAAGTAACAATACATTTATAAAAGTGTGAAACCCTTAGGGACAAACAAGTGGAAAAAGCTGCCTGTTGTTGTTTTGTTTGTGGTCTTGTATGAAAATTAGCTAAAATATGAAACATGTTCATTAGGAATAGTATAAAGCTCTCCTTAATCTACAGCAACACCTATTACCTGTTCATACAGAAATGAATGACACCAGAATTTTATTCCATGTTTCCGTAGAATATAGGACCAGTTCCATAAAACAGAAATCATACAGAAATTAGGCCCACAAAACGGAAGTCTAATAGTGGCAAGAGACTGATTTATATGTCATTAGCTTGACCCTTAGCACACTGATCTCTTGCCAAACAGGGGAACATAATTTGGAACACAATGTGCCCAAAATATGATAATTTGAGTTTAAGCATTTTTCCCTGGAGATAAGAGCCCTAGATTGATTTTTTAATTTTATTTTCTTGGCTATTAATACTCTTCCTATCCTGCTTCTTCAAACTCCAATTTTCACTTCCATAAACTATCACAGGTATCATACTGCCCACACAATACTGGTCTTTATAGACACAGACATATCATTGTATCAGAATATCTTTTCCAAGTCTTCATTGCTACCCTTGGAAGTCTGCAGGATATTTTGTGACTGGTGATTTCTTTACTGTTGATAGTCAATCAAAAAAGCAGAAACTACTCACCAGTTCAACATTTTTGTTGTCACTACTAAGCATGGTTGCTGTAGCCATTGGCACTAGTTTGCTCTTTGTTATATTTAATTCTGCCTTCTTCTGCTCTTGGCAATCACGTTCCACATTCATTCTAAGTGTGTTTGTGTGTGTGCGTGTGTATGTTTCCATTCTGCAGTTTTTCTACTTCTCTATCAATAAAGTTCAAGACTTCAAAATGATTCCTGATTTTTTTTCCCCCTGAAAATTGTGTGTATAGGATCAAGATTACATTCTGGTAACCAGTTAACTTTTTCCACTTTCTTCTTTAGCTTGACTTGACTAAATATGTCTGTATTAGCAATGAAGAAAACATTGCATTGGCAGAAACTGATAAAATTGTCTTCCTGCATTTTCTTCTTTTCTGTTTCTAATTTTGGCATTCCAAAGTTAACCATAAGTGACACGCTTTTTCTCATGTTCTTGTTCACAAATTTCAGACTGAACTTGTTCAGAAACTTCATCAACCACCTCTTCTTCTGCATTAGTGGTTGAAACAGAAATTTGAATAGCCGTCATAATAAAAGTATGCCTGCAAAATTTAACTGATTTTATTCAATTATAGACAGCATTGTACCAATGTACTATCCTAGTCATATATCCTTCATCATCATGAAAGCAGTGCCATTCCATTTTTGTTTCGCATGACTTGAATAATAATCAGTGTGTTTTGGACTGAACACATTCAATTCCAGTCCAGTTCACTGAAGCCTAAAATATCAGTGTGTAGATTATTCATTTCATTTGCACTGTGTTGAATTTATCTGTGTTTATGCGTCCTATGTTCCATCTTCCCTCTGTGGTCGCCTTTGCAGCTTGGGTTTTCTTTTGTTATATGGCAACATCAGCAACTAGACATTAAGAAGATTTTAATCTAGTACTATTATCCGCTTTTCCTCAGTCCTCTCTGAAGGGCCCATCATCCAGTACTATATTATTCATCATTTTATATCTTCTACCCATGTTGTTTCCTTGATAAAATACAGGAGTGTCTATCATTTCCTTCTCCCAGGCAGTGTGAAATAATGACTTTGCCATTATCACTAATGTGAACATTTACTCCAACATCTTCCTACATTGCTGCTGCCCACCACAGAAGCCTGCTTGCTGTAGTTGGGTAGTCAGGATGACCTTCATACCTTGAGTGACCCTGTGGGAATATATAGGCTTGGCATTCACTCTCAGCAATTATCCCTCCCAGGAATATCCCCTTGCCACAAGAAGGCAACATAGAAGGACTGGGGACAGGAAATGAAGAACAGAGTCTATAAATACAAGTAATATAACTTGTATTCTTTTTTAAAGAAGGGAGGCCACCTTAAAATTGTACTTTCTCATTAAGTAAAAATTGTACTTCAATTTAATGTTTTTCATCAAACTATAATGCTAAAAGTATTGAAATGATTAGGTGACAAGCGTTACCTTACCCAGCCATTCCTTAAACCACAGTTCTAGATATATGACATTGCACAATATTTAAACAGAACTTGTATTTTCAGAACTGCATCTCTGAATACTGGGGACTGATGACAATGTTAGAGAACTGTTTCTTTTATATCATGTTTTTAGGTTTCCACCCTTATCCTGCTCCAAAAGTCATTTAAAATCTGGCTTTCTCCCAGGCTTTGGGGAATCGTGGTTTTAGAGCCTTTGTTGTGTTTTTATAATATATGTAGTATATTTTGTCCAGGTAATCATAGTCATGTCTGTTCTTTTTATTTATTCTTTTAAAGTATATGGCACTCATAGTCACTTTGGAGTCAGGCATCCTTTAAAATCAATCAATCTGACTAGTATTACCATGTAGGAAGAAGTGATATAGCAAACATGATTTTAAATGTTTAAATAAATGGAAATGTTTTATCATAATATCAGCGTTCCTACCTTGAAAAGCTGTTATGTGACCAACAATCATATATTTCAGTTCAAAATTTAGAGTCTGAGTGTTTTCTATTCTTTCTCTTCTAACAGCTGCTTGATAATTTTCTTCCATTTTCTTAGTGCAACACGTTGGTGATTTGTGTTGGCAAATCTGTAAACTGGAATCTGTACCAACAAAAAATAAAATGAAAATATATTTAGTAAGACCAGTAAAGACCAACAACATTTCTTACTAGCAAAGTGTTATCAAAGAATAAAGAATTCAAACCTTATGCACTGTTTAAGCACTGAATATTTAACCCTTGCTTTATTTGATGAAATGAATCTCTAATTTTTCAGGGGCTGGGGAAAATATCTGAAGGTACATGAATTGAGAAATAGAACTGTATGAGTGTATGCCTTTTTTTTTTTTTTTACTCCTATTAGAATTACACCACCATCATAATGCAGCCAAGTTGTGCTAGTAATTGCAAACTGTTCATAAATACATGGGCTACATATGTTTATTGGAGGCCTTAGCTCAGTATTTTAACATGTAGTAGCATGAACTGCCAGATTACGCTAACATGTAATATATAGCAGGAATCTTACAAACTTTCTCCAAAACACAACATCAAGTTCTTTTTCATTTAAGTTACATTCTCCAGAGTTTAAATTATTGGCTCTGACATAGATGGCTGCTCTTTTTGTTACAGAATCTTAAATCCATATGGTGGGCACTGAAGTAAACAAAGCGGTATTAATGAATGGTACAAAACAGACTATGTAACCTTTCTTCATCCCAAGACTATGTAACCTTTCTTCATCCCAAGAATGTATATCATGAAGACATGGAATTTCTGCAGGTGTTCCCACCTATGCATCTCACACTGGGTTTGATGAAAATATTTATCTTCAGGAAAACTATTAATCACCATACAAAAAAACAGAAGAAACCGTGACACAGAGACCCTAGCAGCAGTCGGTTGCTAAGATTCCTTGCCCCATTAATTTCTTGGACAAACACATAGAAGGGTGAAGAGAATATCTGCAGACTAGGGCCTACATATAGCAAAAAGATTGCTTCTAAGTAGAATGTAATAAATCTTTTACATGCCAAAGAGCACAATGTAAAACAAAGAGTATTTAAAGACAAAACATAGAGCAAGCCACATTCCCAGTATAATTTCTTGAAGTCACCATAAGCATCCTACTGTGAATATGAAAACTTTGGTTCTTCAGTACTAGCTTTGGGAGAGAATATTTCACTACTACACTCCAACATACGTTTTTTTGTACTTAATTAGTCTGCTGTTGAAAAAATTAGCAAAATCAAAGATGGGCAACTATGTGAATTTAATAATTAGCAATAATTTGAAAAAGAACAACATTCATACTGCAAAATTTAATGCATAGCATACCACCACAGATAGAATAGATGAACAGGGAAAGGAGATGAGGAAAGGAGAAAATCCAGACAGCAGAATTACTGAATGGCACATTGCCTATTACCACTCAGAGGAATTCATACCAGATTTCAAGCTGTGGGCACATCTGTACGCCAGCTTGCAAAACTGCTGGGTCAATGCATTCAGTGACCCACCTTTCTGCAGATGCTGCCTTTAGAGTCAGATTAAACTATTCAAGGCAGCTAACTTGAATGAAGATCTCTTTTGTAATGGAAAACTTCCCAAAGAAAGACAAATCAGTTGATTCTCTGAGATAGTAATGAATCCTAATATATATATATTAGTACTGAAATTGGACAACCAAAATCTACCAGAACTGGAAGTCAAAGACACTCACTATGCAACTTGAATGAAAATAAATATTTAAATGCAAAAATATGTTCACATATTATTATTTTATTAGAAATAACATCAAGATATAAAATCAGGATATAATTGTTGATTCATAAAATAGAGTATGTCACAGTCAATTCTCAGTTATGCTAAGCAAATAATTCATATTTCTAGATACATTTTTGAGATGTAAAAAAAAAACCAGACCTAGATAAAACACTTTAGAATTTTTTCTATTTTTCTATATAACAAATTACCTGTACAATTCAATTGAAAAACACTGAAATCTTTTAGGGAAGAATAAAATAATAATAAAACTAATGGGATTGCATAAGTTTGCACACCCTTTATAAGTAGGGATGTCACTGGGTTCAGAAGTAACTAATCACAATGTGATGTTAAATAATACACATCTGCCATCAATTAAAGTTGTCAGTGTATAAGAATTCATGAATTGGAATAGACATGGCAACAGGTCAGCCAATGGGGACTGTTTGGTGACTCAAACAGTTTGGAGCCTGGGCATGGCTTAGCTTGACAGTTATGTATAAAAGAGTTGGTTTGTCCTTGCATTATTGCCGCTGTATTATGCAGATTCTGTACTTCTGGATTCTGAGTTCTGGTTCTGGCTTCTACTGCATGGGTATTGTGCATGGGCATCATGATTTATATTACTGTATATAAAGAAGTTTCTTTTATACATGAATCCTGGTGAATTAATTACTTGTGTGCTGGTTGGATTGCTGCAAACTCTAACAAAAGTGACTCTGACCAAACCCACATAAAGTTCAGCTGTTCTAGTAGGATTGACTCAGTTGCCTCTTACAGCAAAAGATATGGTCTGCAAAGAGTTTACAAAGAATCAAACAGGTCTAATTGTTGGAAGGTATCAGTCAGGAAAAGGGTACAGAACAATTTCCAAGGCTTTGGATATACCATGGAACACAGTGAAGACTGTTGTCAACAAGTGGAAAAAATATAGCACAACAACAACATTACCAAGAACTGAATGTTTATCCAAAATTGATGGCAAAACAAAAAGAAAACTGATCCAAGAGCCTGCCAAGAGGTCCTCAGCAACATTAAAGTAGCTGCAGGAAACTTTGCCAAGTACTGATTATGTACTACATGGGTTGTCAACAATCTCCATATTCTTCTTATATCTGGCCTGTGAGGTTGGGTGGCAAGGCATAAGTCTTTTCTTGCAAAGAAAACATACAAGCCCAGCCACATTTTGCCAAAACTACATCAAGTCTGACAAAAGCATAAGGGAAAATGTGTTATGTTCTGATGAGACCAAGATTGAAATTTTTGGGCATAATTCCAAAAAGTATGTTTGGTGCAAAAACAACACTGGGCATCATCAAAAGTACACAATACACATGGAGAAGCATGATGGCGGAAGCTTTATGCTTCGAGGCTGCTTTTCATTAGCTAGAACTGGGAATTTAGTCAAGGTGGAGGAAATTATGAGCAGTCCCAAACATCAGTCAATTTTGACACAAAATCTTCAGCCTCTGCTAAAATGCTGAAGATGAAGAATTTCACTTTTCAACACGACAACAATCCAAATCAACAAAAGAATGGCTTCCCCATAAAAAGATCAAACTTTCAGAATCCAGTTGATAATCTGTGGAGTTGACCTGAAGAGGCCTGTGCACAGGGGATGCCCTCGCAATACAATAGATTTGGAGCACTTTTACAAAAATTCTCATGGTAAGATTTGCCATGCTGATAAGCTCCTACCACAAAAAACTGAATGCTGTCAAAGAAAAAATCAAAAGGTGCTTTAACAAAACCTTAGTTTATGCAACTTTTGTAACCAAGTTATTGGACATTTTTATTGTTATTTTTTCCCTAAAAGATTTCAGTTTGTTTTACAACTGAATTGTACAGTTTATAGATTATATTAAAGATGATTTATCTTAATCTGATTTTTTTACATTGACATAGCCTTTTAACAAGGGTATGTAGGGTATGTAGTATATTCACTGTAGGTACAAACAGGTCATACAAACAGATCGCAATAATTACTTTTCAAAAAATCTTGTACACTTATTTTTCAGAAAATTGGATCTCGCAGCTAATAACTACTTCCCAAAAAATCTAGTTTACTAGATAATACAATAAAGTTCTGATACAGAATAAAAGACTGGAAGTATTGTATCAGAAATATAAAATAAATATTGAAAATTCAGTAGATTTTTTATTAAAAGCAGATTGTTTTTAGTTTTAGTTTCTACTGGAAACTAATATGTTACTGTTGGAATATTTTTTTTAAAAAAAAATTATTTTTGATCAGCCATCTGACTGCTACTCCATATCTTAACAATTGTGATGTGGGGAACATATTTTAATATTTTGTGCAAAAGGGGGAGAGAATAGGGAGCTAATTATAGAATGCATGTAGCTATTTTACATCAGCCTTATCTATTTGATTACATCTATTGAAGGCATTGTATATTAGCCTTTTCCAATCCTGTTGCAGTGCTCCAGTTTCTTTGTGAAGGTACCGGAGATTGAAGAAAACAGGCATCTGAGTGAGCCATTGTGTAATTTAGCCAGGGATTTGGATTGGATCCAATTTTTATTTGAATGCTAAAAAACAGGACAGAATGCTTCCAGACTCCAATCTTAGAATTTCTTTAAAGGGTGATGTGCAACATTTTCTGCTTAATGGAATTTTTGCAGAAAAAGAAAAGAGATAAAATACTACAAAGAGAACAATATCTGCACTTTTCATAAAATTCAGGGAATGAGAAAGAAGAGTTTATGATAAAGAATGTAATTAAGGAATTGCTGAGTTACCGTCTATTGACTTTCTGAGTAGTACTTTCTGCTGCCATCCAAAAATTCAACAATATGCAGAGAACACAGGGTTTGCATATTTCCTTTCGGAATTACTTTTTGATAACTGCTGTTTGTTTATTAAGAATCTTGAGACATGAAGTTTCATTATATTAGATCAGGGAGTCTCCTTCAAGCCACTAACAAAATATTTTTTATGTAAGTTTAAGGGCTTAACTATTTTGGAATAAGCAGTAGGACAATTAAATATGGATTTTGGAAAGTTATAAAACAGACTAAGGGGCTAGATGGATTTGAAATAAGACTTTGAAATTAATTACAGGAATTTTTCCTGTAGGACAATGTGTTTGCCTGCAAAAAAAAATGAAGACTTTGAAAATTAAATATAAGAAATCTTCCTGTGGGAAAATACTGTCGATCAAGAAAAAAAAGAATAAAAAGGGTTGAAAGTTATTCACTAAAGGGAACTAAAGTACTAAAAGGTATAATTAAAGGAGAAGAAATGTACTAATACAGATGGAGCAAATTATTTTAACTTGGGATGAATTCAAAGATATTTGGGACCAAAGCCTTCAA